GATGAAATAAAATTTTAAGATTGAAATTTGTTGTTTATGTCTTTTTATTTGCTCTACTGATTTATTGGTGTTGAGCACTCTAGTTCACTACGCACAAATTCAATATTGAATATTATATATATATATATATATATATATATATATATATATATATATATATATATATATATATATATATATATATATACACATATATACATATATATATATATGTATATGTGTGTATGTTTGTATATGCAAAATGTGCTGATTTTTCTTCTAATGTGCTGATTTTTCTTCTAACTTATTGTTTCTGCATGGTATTAGTAAACGATTATCTTTGTATATTCATATGTGCTCAGTAGTATTTCTGGTGGCCAGTATCTCTATAGGCCTAATAATATTTATATTTATCCATCATGTATAATTAGGCTAAGTAAAAAAATATATATGTTTCTCGTCCCCGCCCGGTTCCTTTTTCTTGGCCGCTTCCTTTTTTTTTTTGCTGGTTTCCCTCTACAAATTTCGCTTCATGTTTTTGAACTTTCTTTTTGATAACTTGAAGTATTAATCTGGAACTACTGCGGGCTCATTCAAAATCCTATCCGCTGACCTAATTCAACGCTCTTCAAATTTAATACGTTACGAGACATTAAAAAAGTTACTTTAAAAGCCTTTTATAATTCACGTTTTTAATATTGCGTGTATTTTTCTTACTAAACTGTATGAAAGCTTATTACTTTGGCTAAGAAAAATAAATAAAAAAATGCCCGCTTCCCTGCTTTTTGGCAAAAATCCGGACGAAAAACGTAAGTTTTTTTTTACTTGGCCTTATATATAAAGGGTGAAATAAAATAAATAATTAAATTATTTTTAGAAACTAATTGTGCTCTGTGTACATTATCTTAAAGTGCACATTGACTTGAGTTTGTACCAGCGAGTGGAGTGGCAGCGGTATTCGAACTAGAATATTATCATTCGTATGTGTAATGATTATATCATATTTCGTGGATTATATTATATTTCGTAGAATATTGTCAATTTTTGCATAAGATTAATGTTTGTGCTATATGTATTAAATAGCAATAAAATTCGTGTGAATGACTACAGTGCCCGTGTGATTTGACAAACTATTTTACATATATTGTGCCCAATCAAACATACATATAGGATTAACAGTATTTACTGAGGTGGACAATAAAAATTGCAATACTGGCATTTGGCATTGTGCGCTTTCAACGTTTCTTATATGAGATGTGGTAGGCATTATACATTACATCATCGCATCCATCCAAATTATTTAATAATTATAAGTAACGAGTAACATCACAAACATCGACTAAAACCATATTTTCGTTTTCAAATAGAGGCATATAAGCGAACTTAATTATTTTTTAAACCAACTATGAAAGTACTTTTCTCATATTACTGTATATAGCTACATATAAATATTTTTTCGAAGAACACAGAAATTAGCAACTTCCAAATAGATTTCAACTATTTTGTAACTAGTTCTATTAATAATACTCTTTCCATTAGTTCAGGCAGCTGATAAAGGCTACCCAAGTTACTATTCCCATACCATCCTAAGTTTTAAATTTCCGGTCAATAATGCATTAACATGTATTCGGTAACATTAAATGTACGCATGCTGCAAGGGGTACCCAGTATACGAATATATATAAAGAAAAGGATTAAGACAGCCTTTTCCAATGTTTTCTTAGGATCAGCCAATGTTATCTTAAAGCATTAATACGAACTAGCAAGTTTACATTGTCCAGCCTTTGTCATACGCATGCGAAACTTATTGCAAATTTGAATAACTTGGTAACTAAGTGTAAAACTACTTACGCGTCGACCATTAAGTAATAAAAGGTTATTGATATAGACTACGCGTTGTTAAGTTGATGGTACAAACGGTACAAGTGCTGGAAATGAGTATAAAAGTTGGAATGGCTACGAAACTACAAATAAGGTATGTAAGTGTGGAAATATAATATTTTCAAGTGAATTACCATAATATAAAATTGAAGATTAATTATTGTTGTAATTTAACCGTTTGACGCTGTGGTTTATCGTGTACTAGTTTGATAGTTTGTGTACTGGTTTATGTGGTTTGATCGTGTACTGGTTTCAAAATTTTTACTATGGAAATAGCATGGATCTTAATTGAAGATAGTATGGAAATCCAATCTTCATACTAATTGCAATTTCCACACTATGGATATAGTATGGAAATAGTATGGTAGGCCCATATATACTGTGAATTTAGTGATACAATTGCAAATTTCATAATATGGATTTCATTATTTTTTTCGATTGAGTAAAAGTGTAAATCTATAGATATATGCTTCCGAAATTGGAATATGTACTTATCATGTTCACTTATAAAGGATTTTTGCAATTCTGATTTTAAGTCGGTGGTATAAAACGGCGTTGGATGTGAAGTAAGTGTGCGTGATGGCCGCTACAAAACGTAAACAGCAGACGGTGCAATTTCTATTCGAGGCATCGCCGGAGAACAATATTACGCGATGTGTGATCAGTAAAACATCGAACACCTTTGGCAATAATGAAGAAGGGGATTCTGACGATGACAGATCTGCGCAAATTACTAGCGATAAAGTAATTGATCGAAAAGAATCGCGGTTAAATACTTATAGGAATAATGAACTGACTAGTTTCATGACAGGTAGACGGGCATTGAATGTTGACAAAGAAAGCGACGGGGATTATATGAAGATAGACGAACAAACTCACCAAAGTCACACCGATAAGGTAATTAGATTAAGGGAATTTTCAAATAGTTTCAGCTGTGAGAATAAAAGCTCACAGGCGTTCATTCTAACTTTCCTGACTTTTATTGTACTTTTTATTATTCTGATAGCCATCACCTATAGATCGCGATTACAGGGGCATGACCATCACTCTCAAATCTCAAACTTTAAATTTAACATAATATTGCATGTATGACTGATTTTAATTGTTGTATTTCGAGTATAAATAACTGTCTGCCTATCTATTTTAGGGAATTTTACAGGAACACTTGGGCTCTAAGTCAACGCGCAGTAGTTCAAATAGCAGTGATGGAAATAACACGATGATAAACACCATTACTGTATCAGAACATATTTCACATGGTACAACCGAAGCGAGTAAGTTCAAAATCCTAAATGATTCTAACCAAAAAGAACAAAATGCATGCAATCCTGGTGAGTTATATAACACAAACCAAAGCCATAAACAAGAAATACGGTCTACCAAAACTACACTGAGTGCTAGACCTGATTATGAAAATCACAATAATTTCCATAATACGATCCAACAAAGTCGACTGTCTAATCCCAAGGATAATGACCCCAAAGAGCAATTTCCTGTTAAAAGTGGTCCGAAACATCTCGAAGCAAGGCATGAAAGTACAAAGTTATCACTCAATGTTGGTGGTAAAGATAAGGATCTAGAATGTGAAATAATCAATCATTTCAATGCAGAATTTTATGATGAAAACGAATCAAAGTATCTGCATGTTATTGATTATGACATGCAAGAACCAGTTTCGGTTATTAGGAGTTTCGATTATTCACAAAACACACATCAAAGTGCAAAAGGTATTGGCGATAAAAGAAGTGATGGTCTCAGTGAATCTTATAATGGTTTTAACACTACAATTCAAGAAACCGTCCCTAATTTTCTACAAGATGATAATCCTGATAGACAATTACCGGATCTGGGTAATCCTCGAAGATTACAAGGAAAACAAACAAAACTATATGCAAATATACCAAGTAATGATAATGCGGTTGACACTGGAATTGAGAATATTACGTTTGAAGGAGATTTATATTACAGAAAACAACCTGGAAACAAGGTAAAAAATTTGGTACACGATTATGAGCTTCAGGTTCAAGAAAATAGCAGTCATCATAAATTAGAAGAGAAACACGAAGATCAGTTACATTTAAATAAAAACGCTGTCCAATCACCATATACCGAACGTCATAATACTGGAACTAACAAAAGTCTTACAAATCATGTTTCGCCTTTGAATTTAGAGGAGCCATCATTGATCGAATCTTCTCCATTGCACAAACGAGAGTTAGGATCAGAAAAGATTATTTACGTATCAACCACCAAAGCCAGTAACGAACGTAGTACACGCCATATTCCCGATTCTAATTCAGAAAAACCGCCAGTAATTCCTAGTACTAAGGATTTGCAGTCTTTGGAGGAAACGGTGTCAGAATCAGAGCATTTGAAAAGTATAATTGCCACCAAAGTCAATAATACGGGTGATATTTATTCAATAACAAGAGAAGATAATACAAGCTTTGTTCCTGATTCTAACACAAGCAAACAATCACCGAATGCCACAAACACGAATGACTTCAAGTCAAAGGTTGGGAAAGATCATTCTTCACGATCTGATAACAGAGAATTAAGGTCTGATTATGAATTCCAAGCTGGTGGTTCCCAAGTCACTCGAGCGCACTGGTATGACATTCATAGCCCGTTACATGAATCTTCGCAAGACGTACAACGGGCTCCTAAGGAAGAAAACACCTTCACACCACCATCAAGGGAGGAAAACACCTTTACATCACCACCATCATCGGTGATGTACAACACAGCGAGGGGGGAAAGCGTTAATGAAATGCGAAGCAAGAGATGGAAAAGCTTAGGAGAACTTGATTATTTTGATCAAGTGGAGGAATACAAGTTACCTGAAAAACTGAACAAGACTACAGCATATCCAATCAGGGAACAGGCTATGACTGATAGGAATAATAACGTAGATACAATGTACTTTAGTACAATACCAAGGAATCATGAGTTTAATTCATTACCAAGAAATTACGGCATTCAAAATGCTCAGAGACTCGATTTAGGTTACGATGGCAATAGTACTGAAACGCTGTCATTTAATGCGAAAACAGTACACCGAATGCCTTTTCTAAATAACCATGTACCTAATATGAACAACGATAACAATTCTGAGAAGGTCGTTTCAAGTTTCGAAAGCAATAGTGTTCAAGCGCACAAACCTCTCTATGGCACAAGAGCAAAGCAAGCTCCTTCTCTAACAGGAAAGAAATATGTACCAAACATGTACAACACTAGTAATGCTCCGATGAACAGTTCAAGTTTCGACATCAATAGTACTACAACCCTGTCACCCGATGGCAATACGGAAAATCAATCCCCTTCTATAAGGAAATATATACCAACCATGCAAAACACAAACAGTACTGAGAAAGTCAGAGCAGGTTTCGAGAAGAATGGTGATAAGACCCTGTTCCAAACATCAAATCATTCTCCTTCCCTAAATAAGAAACGTGGAAAACTAACTAACTACCCCGACTCTTCATCGAGAGTTTCTAAGGATAACCTCAGTTCTTCCCCAACTGCTCTGGAAACATTAGATCAATTTCCCATGAAACGATCCCCTTTGCCGACAAGGAAGAATGAAAAACTGTCTCGATATATCCAAAAAGTTGACAACTCTGATTCCTTATTATTTCACCAAATATCGCAAGATCAAGCCAACAAACTCAAAGATTATAATAACAATCTCAGTTCTTCACTAACTGCTCTGGAAACGCTTGATCAATCCCCGATGAAGCGATCCCAAAAGATAAAAAATCTTGTTAACATTGAGTATTACGATATCAACTCCGACGACGAGTTGAACAGTAAGATCAAACGGAGGCCAAGAACGAAAAGCTTGAACGAGGATGACAAAACGACGGAAGATGTTGCACTGAAAAGAGAATTTAAGAGTAGCGGAGATTTACGGTCTGTTGGATTGAGCCACGACGAGATAAATGCGGGCAGAAAAGCAAGAGAAAGGGGGAGTGGAGTGGAGTCGAGTTTTGTTAGCTCAACGCGAACGCATGGGAAATATACTAAACTGTACATGGATTCCATTGCATATGGTAGGCATCCACAAGGGAAAATGCCAAGTAATGATAGTACAGAAACAGATCGTAGTTCGTCCCACAAACCAAATCCTTCCATTAAAGTGAGTTCGCATGACAGAAATTTAGATCTTGCGTACAAAGGCAGTCATGTTCGAAGTGACAATGCAGCTAACCTTACAACCGTTTCAAAACAAAATGAAGGTAGAATGAAGAGATTACCAAGTCTACTACACGACACACCGAAAATTGACAATACCATGAAACACCACAGAGGATATATAGAGGGTATCACACTGAAATCTACTGTTAAGAGTATACCAAGTCCACTAAAGAAATTTAGTAGTTTTGCAACAAAAATGGACAATTCCACAAAACAACACGCAAACGATATTAGAGATACCACGCCCAAACCTATAGTATATCCAATTGAGGACCTCAAAGCAAGTGAAGGCAAATATAATATTGCAAAGGCGGAGGAAGAATGGAAGAAGAGATACGGTAGACTTCCATATAACAGCAAAGATCCGCTTCATAAGTCATCTGACAAGGAGTTTGGAAGATTATTCCAACATTCTGAGAGGAAAACTACGACTCAAAGTAGTTCGAAAGAGACTGGATTAACAATGAACAGTTCTGCACTACAAGGGGAAATGGACACCTCATCTTCTAGTCTGTTTAGTCCAAATAGGACTGAAAATGAGGACGAAAAGAGGAAAAACAGTCAATCAAAAGAGTTCTCAACCACACTAAACCAGCTCTCTAGTTACGTGCTATCTGGTTACAAAGTAGATCAGCCCCAAACGTCCCTACCAAATAACCAAGAAAACACTAGGCCAGGAATTACTGTTAAACATAAACGGTATTATTCAGACGATGAAGGAGATCTCTCCCACATATTAGATGATCCCAACGAGTCCAGAAAACTATCCATGCTAGTTCATGCTATCATTAGATTAAGAGAAGTGTATAACATCCAACCATATACCAAACCTCAAACGCCCGAACACCCGATAAATTTAGGGAACCCGCAACTGCGCGATGCAATTGAGAACAAGCCAATGAGCGTTGTGAAAGATTTGATATTAGCCAATAAGAGAGTGGATATTAATATACGCAGCCAATCAGGTAACTCGGCTCTGCACAGAGCAGCAATGGAAGGTGATATCGATGCTGTTCGTATTTTGATCAATCACGGTGCAAATGTAAATACAAGGGATAGAAATGGTTTCCAACCCGTACACAACGCATTGAGATGTCATCATTACAAAGCAGCGATGTTTCTGATGGATTGTGGCATGGATCTTGTGAGTTATACATCGATGAGGATACGCGAATTTGTGAACGTCAAGGCGATTGCAAAGCAGTATTTGAGACAAACTTTGAAAACACCGCTATAGTTATCCTAAAGTATACGTACAGTACTTTGATATTAATTCAGGTACACGAACTGATTTATGGATGAAAATGAACAGCACAAGGATGCGCTATACATTGCCAAGCTCGTGACATTATATGCCAATGGATACCAAATTATATAAATTAAATGTGAGTTTAATTTTTCAATTTTATACTGCATGGTGTACGTTCTATATTAGGAATTAATTTATGTGCTAGAAATTTTTTAAATTTATTTGATAGCTTTCTCTATATGTGAACTGCAACAAATACATGTAGTTCACAAATGCGCATGTCACAAATCGTAATTATCAATATTAAATTCATTTCTGCTCGTAAAGTATTTGACATGAAAAATTATGGATGAAAAGTAGCTACAATGTGAGTGGATTATGCCGCTAAGCATAATTCAAATTATTCGTTATAACTGCACATGCATGTTCATTAGGATCATTTTTATAGCAAAATGTAAAAGCAAGCTTAATATAAGTATTTGATGATATTCCGGAAAAATGCCGTGCTGAACTTCTTGGGATGGGAAAGCCCAAATATTTACTATCACATCATTTTATGGCTGGTCGTGAAAAGTTCAAAATTTGCCACTATCATGATTATCAACCTAATCTACAGATATACTATTTTGTCTACTCATATTTATCATGTTTATGTGTAATTGGAACTGATAAGTGCTTGGCAGTGCATGGAGTCTTCGCAAGTTTAACTAGAAGTTATGACTATTTGCAATTCATCAATTAACAACCGGACTTTAAATGATGATGTCTGGCACAAAACGAAAACATTGTCGTTAAGCGACCGACCTATTAAGGTATTTACATCACAACTGAATAAATATATATATGACGCATCACTATCGATTAAAAAAGTAAAAGGGCATTTACTCACCATTTTAGAGCGCACGAAAAAACCTTTCTCGATAAGCCATATTGATACGACGATATATAGGTATATAGTCGTTAACGTTTTGTTTTAGTGCCGCCATATTTTCTATTTTGCATTTTAGCTTGCAACGTTGATTGTGGCATTTTGCTTTTGCATTTAGTAACGTGCTTTACAAATTTGCTTCAGCGAAGCAAATATGTAAAGATTTCATTTGCCACAGATTTAAAGCTCCTTTAATATTGCAGCTTAATTTGGGCATACACGGTACGATTTCGTCAGAAGATTGCCAGTTTAGATGCATGGTAAGTAAATTATGACAGAATACTAAATCAATGTGCTTACTGAATATAAAACAGGCTGTTTCTATTGGTGACATGCATCTATAAACCATGTCACTGATTAAAATCGTAGCGTATACGCCTATACCGTTAGGGTAGGTTTACACTATAAAAGTTTCGATCGCAGATGCCATGCTATGACAAGAAAACGTTTCAATTTATTTGGGTTGTTTTTTTTTTGGGGGTTAGTGGGGAAAAAATGTGAAATCCACAATTAGTATATCCACATTATTTCGATACTATATCCATATTATAGAAATATACAATTATTATGGATAATCAAAAATCCATTCTATTTCCAATAAAGGTCCATACAATACCCATTCTATGGATTTTCAAAATTTTATAGTGGTTTTTTTTTTAGTGGGTGTTTTTGGGAGGTGTCTCAAAACATACTTTGATCTGCAAGTAACTTTGATAGTGTAAACCAACATTTACGAACTGGGGATTTAAGGTGGCTCGATACAGTTTTCAAAAATTCAGGTGTTCAACACTTTGACATGTTCAAACTACGCACTTTTAGGATTTATTCAGCAGATATCGGGTTTTTTATATATTTTGATAACTCTACTTTCAAACTATATTAGTTCTCGTAACAGATAGTTCGTTGCTATGACGACATACGTGTACGAAATTCACTCCAAAATGGTCTATCGCCTTGTATAGTTGGAAAAGAAGCATGGTGACCCCCAATTTTTTTTTGTGCATTATTTTACTTGGACTTAAAGCTAACATTTAGCAAAATATAAAAATTTCTGTAATGCCATTTTTTTGGAAAATGCGAAAATGTCATATTCTTCGGTAAAATTTTTTTGGCATTACAGAATTGTTTTATTTTTTGTATAATGAAAGCTTTTAGCGGTGCAATACAGCATGCAAAATTTGAACATAGGTCACCAGACAGAATAAAGAGATATAGCGCATTGTTTTTCTAAAATGGAAAATTCTAATGACGTCAGCAATTGACATAAAACGCTATAGAACACGCGCAATGGCGTGATATGGCGCGAGCAACTGCTCACGTCAGGTCATTTTGGAAGTTCTTTCATTTTGTTAATCAGTTTCCGAGACCTGCGCGTAGATATGGTCACCCGTTTTGAGTTCGCGATTCTTGAGCAGGGGTCTTGTGATAAACTATATCGAGCCACCTTAAGCGTGCACAATTTATGATCCATCTACACAATACGATTAGTTGTGTACGATTCATATCCTGACCTACATGAATGTGATAAAAACCCACAAGTAAAAATGCCACGTTTCGAATTTTTCCATCAACTGACGGGACTGCAGAATAGTGGGATCGGAAATCATTTTGATAAGGAATCGTCAACGACAATCGTATAGTGCAGATCGCGCTTTATTGTTGAAAGACCCATAACACGATTTGATAATTCGAATTTTTTGTCATACCAATATATCATGCAGGACTTGGAAAATGCTTTCGAATTTTGATCGTTCCAGTTTGTAGTCTGTGACCATTGACTTTTGTTATTCGTGGCCGAAAAAATAGTACGTACCTTGGGTACGTTGTATGTAATAAACAAATTATCGAATCCTGTTGATAGTTCCTTCAAACTTCTCCATACAAAGGACATTCTCGGTTACCTGTTTGTATACCACTATACTCGATATTGCATGACAACATGGTACTTACGGTTCGGATGGCCGCTGTCCAAAGTCATCGTCACTGTGAAGTTGTAGGATTCTCCTTTCTTCAGGTATATGTACTGAGGTAACGCATCTTTCATGTCAGACATATCCAGGGTATTAGGGCGACTCAATGAAGCTCGTTGATTGTCCAGGTACTCCTTGAAGGAAAATTGCAATAAAAATCAACTTCGTCCCATTTGAAAAGAGACATTGGCAAAATTTCTCTTAGGATAATCTAAGACATCGATGTGGTTTCCTTTGTGTTGTCCTCATGAAAAATTGATTTTGAGAAATTTTTATTCAAAAACAGTCAGAAGCATGTGCAAGGTGGGAAAAACAAGGCTGAGATGATATGGGCACATTATAATAAGAGACGAAAGAGAGCTGGTCAGAGACATTATGGAATGAAGTGATAAATGGATGATATAGGGTGGAAGACATTGCTGAAGGAGTGAGGAAAACAAGGATGTGATTGTATTTACACGTCATAAGAGGGGATGAAAAACATTACGGAATAAAAAAATCAGAAGATGTTGGGTGTAGACATTACAGGGAAGATAAAGAAATAACTGATGAGAGAGAGAAGAGAGATGAAGGAGAGCTGGTCAGAGACATTATGGAATGAAGTGATCAATAGATATAGGGTGGAGGACATTCCTTTGGTGAGGGAAACGAGGCTAAGATTGTGTTTACACGTACATGTAATAAGAGGAGATAAAGAAGATTCTTGAATGAAGAGGCAAGATAAATAAATCAATGATGATACACAATAGAAGAGATGAAAGACAGTCGACCAGCGACATTATATAAAAGACAAACTGGAGATAAAGGGGAACAGACGCAAGGAAGACAAAGCAAATTGTGATAAATAGATCTAAATATCAAGAAATGTATAGAGGAGAATGAAACAGGCAGCACGAGGTCAGTCAGCGGGTAGAGATTGTAAAAGGAAATTTCATGCAGGGAGAGACTTACATATTCTGAGATTCACAGTAATGCCCAGGCCAACTAAAAATAATAGTAATTGGTTTCAGATTTCTTCTGACCGACCTGTCAAAAATATGACCGACCATAAACATTTTATTGAAATTGTAGCTATATTTGAGATAAAATATTTTTTTAAATAAAATGTTTTTCCGACCTTCCTACCCATGTAAAAATGGCTGTGAAACCTGAAACCAACTATTATTTTTATTTGGCCCTATACAAAATGTAGAATACATATTGCCTTAATTACCTTGAGAAAATCCACAGATACAGGCACAGTGTTTACCATATACGGCACGTCAATAACATCAACGACATGCTGCAGGTGATGGCTGGTATGAGGAGCTAGGTAGATGATTGAGTATTTTAAACAATGTTTAGGAACGGTTGAAGTTGCTCCGTAATCTAAGATTGATGGCGTGTTGATGATATCGTCATCTAACGAGGTTTGCTCATGGATCAGCTGGGTATGTGATAGGATGTCTCGGATAGCTACTTTGCTTCTGAATATGCATGGTATGGTAGAGGTCTTATTTTGACACTGAATAACCTGAAAACGTAGATAAATTGGTTTCTTTTGGAGGCCTTCTCTACTTTTGTTACTGTATGTGTGTGTGTCAACACTAGGCAAGTTGAAACATAGCTCGAGTTGATTGCGGTGGGAATCCAACCTGCGACGGACTCAAGTCGGACTCAGAGTAACAACACCTGAAGCCAGTAACCTGAAGGCAAACTTTCCAACAGATTGCTTGCAAACTTTAAAATATCCGAAATATTGTCCAGATCAGTATAATTTGTGCCAAAAACAGCCATATTTCATAGCCACAAACCGTAGGTTTGCCGAAATCCATACCTTATAGCCACGGTTAATTGTGGCTACAAAGTATGCCTGTTTGTGGCATACCTTATATTAGAGCCACGGTGTGTAGCTATAAGGTATACCGTGTCTATAAGGTATGCCGAAGTCGGCATGCTGTATAGCAACAAATCGTGGCTATGAGGTATGCCGAAATCTGGTATACTTTATGGCCACAAACCGTGGCTGTAAAGTATGCCGAAATCTTGTATACCTACTGTATATCGCTAAACCATGGCTAAAGGCATATACAGTATATGTATACCAAAATAGCGAGTTAAATTTTTTAACCTAGAATTATTGCCAACTCGAGCTTTGAATAACCGGCTCTCGATTTCAACATCACAACCACCAGACGATAGATAAGGGGCCATGCAAAATTTATTTTATACGGGGCCGAAGCAAAAGGGCACATACTTTTTTTGAGCTGCATAGAAGCGGGGCACACATATTTTTTCTGCCTTACAAGGTGTGGTACCCATGAAGGTGATCAAATAACTACAAGTGAGAGGTCAGGGCGCGGTTTATTCCCTTTAGGAGAAGTTCAGACTCGAAGGGGTCGCAGTGTCAGACCTCTTGCACATTTCAGCGATTTCCTCCAGCTGAACATACAGTATGATAAGCAGCTCTATGGTAAGCACAGCTACACAAGCTTTCATTCAAACTGATAGTAGTACGGGACAGCAACTTTTTTAGCAAAGTTCCGAGATTTTTATCACACCAACCTAAACGGGCTTGCTTTTTTTAACATTCAAAATTGATTTGCTCTGGCCCGGGGGTACAATAAATTTTGCATGGCCCCTAAATTGTAAACAGTATGTTACATGGGCGGTGTGACACTGTGAACTACAAGTTATTCGCTATCACGCTATGTTTACTGTAATTCAAACTGGAGACGTTCTTCTACTACTTGCAGAGAGGTGAAACGCATATTCACTATTTAGTGGGGTACTATCATCCTATCATCTGTTAAAGATAAGAAAGTTTACAAAGATATGTTGCTTACCTTCCACAGTTGCCCAGAAGCATCATAAAACAATGAGAGGATATTGAAGGATCCTGCACATGAATCCGACTCTTGACTAGTCATTACGCCAATATTCCATTCATTTGCGGTCTCCAGATAATGAACTGCGGCAGTGTCTGTGTGACCCCACCAAACCTTAACAAAAAAAAACAAATGTCAGGAAGTATAGAAATTAGGCGATAGAGTTTTAAGAGATGCGAACGCATGAATCGGAGCGCGTTCCACATGCTTTTTCTGTTAGGCTGTTTCTCAGCATTCATTTAGTCCAGATAGACGATAGACCAACAAATACTGTCTTCTGTTCTTATCAGGTTTCATTATTACATCAACAATCTATCAAATGCATTGGTATGCTACATCTGTTATGCATTTTTGGTGCCGCGAACAAAAGCTATAGTAACGTACAGACAGATAGGAAATTGATACCAACCATATACTGTAGTCATGGCCAATGTGGATTAACAATTTCGCCAGTCTGACAAACGTCTGATCGATCAAATGTAGAGTTGCTTCATGGTAATTGGCCAATGGTCGGTCAGCTACTTTTAATATTTATATTAATAGCAAACCGAAAAATTCTTGGTCCAACGGATACTGTTTTCATATTTTCGGCGTGTCTGGTACTAACAATGGTCAAATTTGTGACATGCGCAGCATGCATATTTTTTTCATGCCTGTCACCGCGAAGCCAAGAGTTTGTTTTATGTTCCTTAATCTTGCTTTTATGCTTTTTGAAGAGCACCAAATTAAATTTCCGTGCAGAATGAAATTAATTGGCCATTTAGTGTTTTTATTTCACAATAAATAGCCAATTGCCGACCGTTATGATCCACACTGACCATAACAAGTTGATTTTATAACGGAGTTCTGATATATAACAATCAAGATTCTTTTATACACCTGTTGCGAGTCTGTCAAAAATGCATATGAACCGTCTTCTGCAGAGGTAAACAATGTGATGTTCGATTCGTGGTTATAATCCCATAACCAAAAGAAGTTCTCGCCTGCATTGGGACTAAAGTTGAAAAGAAACGATCAAATTAGAATTTGGGAAACACCAACGCCTAAGAAACCTATACTAACAAATCCGTAAGCCCAGGTCAAACGAGGATGAGAGTTGACGAGAGCTGGCAGTCACAATTGTTACGGGAAACCCACACAACTCACACGCGTTTGGACGGCGATTGAATATCTCAAAGCGGTAACAAAAATTTTACAACCATGAAAGCATTGGTAGGCTGCCTACAGTATATTCAGCAAATTTGAATGAAAGCAAAAAAGTCTAAAGAACCGAGAGTTGTAGCAACAGAATAGTGCTAAATACTGTAAGTATATGGCGCGAATCTTACTGTAATTCGACCCTGAAGGCGTACCATATCACTTTACCTGTAGAAGAGAACATTTCCCCACACGAAAAGGTTACTGCCAGTATTCCGAGTAAAAGAAATACCATTCAAATAAACAGGCAAACTTCCAGAGGTAGATGAATCTAGCAATGTCCAGTGATTTCCATGTTCATCATTACCTGCATCAAATAAAAGGTAGGGACTATTTATTTAGTGTACATACTAAGTGTCAAAGTTCATACCTTCATGCCTCATTGGACAACAACATACTGTATCACGTGAAAGCACGACATTTAACTGTCTTAGGGGCCGGGGGTCTAACCCCTCTAATAAAGTGTTCAATCCCACCAAAATTTCACTTCACCCCTCCTATTTTGTTCAATAGGTTTTAACCCAAACGCCTAACCATGCCGAAGCTCACTGAGTGGTGCCGCTTGCACCCCCGACCAGAAATTTTTCTACCCCTCCTTTTAAATATATGAAAATCCGCCCTTGCTCCTGGTAACAGACCTGAGCAGTGGACATTACTTTTATTCACAGGTTGAGGGAATAGAGCAAATAAAGTTATAGTTGTTTTTATCATAATTTCTTGATTGGTATCCAGGTTCAAAAGTACATATATAATTGTTCCCCACATGATTACATGTACATACTCAACCTCGTACCCAGGATCTTTCTACATATATACTGCCATAGTATCACCTTATTCTATACATTCATCTCAAATATAGCCTTACTCTATACATTTGTCTCTAACAAAATGTATTTAAAAAGATGTGTTGGAATAACACAACTTTTTTGTCCAGAATACAGATGTGCTTGGGCAACATACTGTGTGTTGTGGCATAGCACAACTATTGGATAGCTAGACGAATATTCAGAGCATACGAGTATTGTGGTTTTCTGTGATACAATGGTTATATATATATTGATGGCAATATTCAACCACAAAAAATGCTAACATTTTCTCACAAACCTCGACTAATGTTTGGTAAAGTTGAAGGGAAACTGAATAGTTTATCCCATTCATTATCTAAATGAAAGAGAAGACACCGATAAACTAAATAGTAACTTATCCCTTCTGATACATACAAATTTGTATTCAGCCCTTCCAAGTGACGTCACAACACATAACTTGATGTAATACATGTACCCTTTCGATAATTACGTCACACATACTTTTTGGTCCTGGAGCCTTGCTCTTATTAGCAAATTACGCAAGGTGATTGGCTCACGATTGATGAGAGCGAGGCTCCCAGGCCAAATGACATACTGTAATTATCGAAAGGGTGTAATAGATAGCTTAAGATATACGACGTCGACGTTAGCTAGGACGTCAGGGCTAAGCAGAGGACTGGGATTACATTAGGACGACATCCTAGTCCCAGTCCTCTGCATAGCCCTGACGTCCTAGCTGACGTCGACGTCGTATAGATCTTAAGCTATCTATTATTTGACGTCTGCCATTCTGGATGGCAAACGTTCAAAACTGCTAAAACTACATATAAATTCAATACGCTGTTTTCTGGCAAATTCTGACGACTGTAAACATCGCGTGATTTCTTAGAGTGACGCAATAAACTACTGAGTAAACTACTGTACTGTAATAAAGTAGGGCGCATGAGTTTAACGAACTTAAAAATGAAATTAAAGAACTTACTGGAATACCCCACAATAAAATAATCCGACGAGTGTGAAACCAGGAACACGTACAAAACGTTCGGAATCAAATTGATTGTCGCATCGTGAATAGTGCAATCGGCTAAAAATAAAGCGATACTATACGCGCTACAAAAAGCTTTCCACGTCGACTCTCTCCTTTAAATTAAAAAGAATTAATAGACAATTTGCATGTTAGACTAATTTTTGATCTAGGAAAAAAAAAAGTAAATTCCCGAAAAGAACTTATTAAAATTAGTAAAACTGATAGCAAATTTGGTTATGAAATGTTGTAATATACGGAAAATATAGCCTTGCGAAGTTTGCATATTTTGTATATGTTTGTATTACGTGCGAGAAATCTTACCATTTTTGGGCCGAAAATGGTAACAATTTTCGTGTGTAATACAAACATATACAAAATCTGCAAACTTTGCAAGGCTATACTTTCTAAGCTTTACAACATTTCCCACCCATTTTTGCAATTTTACTAATTTCATTATGTTCTTGTTAGCTGTGGTGTTTGATACCCTTCTCTTTACTTACATTAAAATTAGTCTAACATGCAAATTGTCCATTAGATATTAGACATGAAAGTTTTTCAGTTCTTCTTACCTCCTTGACCGATAATCGATGCAAGAAATTCGCACAATGTTCTATCTTTCTTATCTTGCAATTCAAAAAACTCTAGCTCAGATCCTAGAATTATATGGTATTTGGAAATGTTAGAATGAATCGGCGATGGTTGACCAATCAGGAACGCGAAGAAAGTTGGAATGTATAATAATTATTAATATTATCAAGTTGTTACCCGTTATGACATTCGATAGAAATACTTTATCGGAAGAATCTTCAATGGCAAGAATCTTAATAGCTCCAGGAACTGCTTGTGGTGGTGCAACAATCTTTCGAATACACTGACGAAGGACAATCTTAGACATGTCTGGAATAGAAAGTTCGGTGATATATACTGAGATAGGTTCGAGGTAGAATATTTTTAACGAAATTTAAGCATAAATGTGTGTATCATTTACATGCAAAATGAAAACCTACATGAGCTGCCACCGACTTCTTTTCGAAGCTCTTGGACACCGAACTAAAATAAACAGTACATGTAAGTCGATATTTTGTTGACACCTTCAGAAATATTTAGACACTTTAATAGTTCGCGCGTTTTGCGCAAAACGCGCTTATATACTGTATGTAAAGCCCGTTTTCCACTAGGCAAATAAATAGACCCTTCCAAGGTTAACGACGCCATAATGAAACACAATTCCAATAGTGCAAGGGGTGCTAACACAATGGTGAAAACAATAGATTTAAGATGGCGTCCTTAACCTTGGAAGGGCCTATTTGTTCGAAGGCGATTTGTTTTTCCTTTGTCGGCATCACTTATTAAGTCAGCAAATGTGATGACCAGACAAAGGGGAGTTGAGATATTCCTGACTTGCAATCAACCCCTTAAGAATTAGAAGACAATGGCACGGCGGCCATGTTGGTGCCAAATTCAAAAGAAGTTAATGAACTCTCTTGTTGAAAAGGACCAACATGGCTGTCGCCCATATCATTGCAAGTCAAGAATAATAAAATTTAGAAAGATTTTAACTTTTACGTACGTACGTACAGTATGAAAGCCCTCAAGTGAAAAGCATTCTTAAATGATTCCTCCACATCTACATTTAATTATAAGACGGTAAAACACCAACTATCTTAAATTTCTTAACATTAACAGCACTTACACAAGTTGACAATAAAATCCTGTCAGGCAATAACGAAGATCCTTTAATTTCCAGCGTAGAGCATGGGTTTGGACAGACTTTTGAAATTCCTGTTTGACTGATATTATGAACCTAAACAACCGAAGAATGTGTGTACAGATTCGATTAAGATTGTCAAATGACAAAAATTTTCAGCCATGATCGAGATATAGCCTACCTCATTTTAATATTCTTAGTTGTGTACTAGAATCTACTACAGTGTGTATCAAAATAATTCGAATCCAAATTTGGCGTGTAATAACGCAGAATATATTTGACAAATTCGGTTGGTTTTTACACCATTGTTAAGTTCATTTATTTATCTTTCAAATGACATGCTGTACGCGTCAT